TCACAACATTAGGAGAGACTGGTAGTCATCAGTTTCTTTGTACCAGGCAAAGGAAGTGATCATATCTTCCACCTATCATTTTTTTAACTTAATAACAAATTATTTGGGAAGCAAATCTATCTTGAGGGGTCGTTTGTATTATCTTTTTTGCCCTGAAATTTTTTTTTTTTTTTTACATCTAAAGTGGGAGTGTTCACCTTAACAAGGTCTTCAATTGCACAGAATTAGGGATTAATGAGTCTCTGTCTCTGGAACTTATTAATTACCAGAAGGCCTCATTACTGCACTGTTTGATGTGGTGTTAGCAAGATGTTCTGGCAGGAATTCATTTTTCCTCACTGTAACAATCCCTTTATGGAAACAGACAGCCTCATCCACGAGCAAGGGAAGGCTAGAAGCTGACTTGAATTCTTAATATGAACAGTGCACTGCATCACCAAAGAAAATATCCAGGGCTTTAGATTATATTCCATAAAAAGCCTTTTGAGCTGTGTTTCTCAGAGGTCCAAGGACCGTGTGTACTGGAGCCACCAGGGGGATGCAGGCTCCTGGGCCTTGCCTCTGCCCAACCGAATCAGAGCCTCTGGTCATAGAACCTCAACATCTGTATTTTAACAGGTTTTCTCAGTGAGTCTTAGACACACGCCCACCCCAAACAACTGCTCTGGAGCAGTGAGTCTCAAAGTGGGACTCAAGCGAGACTGTCCACTGGGTACAGGAAGACACAGAGAGCTTTCATATATTTGTTTATATAGTGTATAGGGTAAGAGTATTGTCTCTGGAGTCAGACTCCCTGCATTCAAATGCTGGCCTTGCTGTTGACTAATTTTGTAACCTGAGCAAGTTAATTAACTTCTCTGTGCCTCAGTTTCCTCACTGTAGAACACTGGCACATAGAAATCAATCAATTAGTATTTACTGCTGCTGTTGTTACTATTTATCTAAGAAAGGAAAGAAATTAAGATTTACCAGTATTTAATATACTTATCCATAATTATACATGCATATAATTTATTAATATGTGTATCGGCAGGGGGGAGGGGGTGATCAAAGTATTTGGAGACCCGTATTTTAAATGATCAAGAGAATGAAAATTTTTTAAGCAAATTACTCAGGAAAAAATATCTTTCATAACTTCAGCATGGAAAGTTAATGGTTTATAATCTAGAAATTTGTAAAGAGAACCAATAAGGTTGATAAAGACTTGGCCCCAGAATCCTGGGTTCATTTGTTCATTCCTTCCCTTCTTCCTTCATTTATTTACTCACCACATGTTTTCAAGCCACTGTGCACACATACTGTGTGTGCTAGGCACCCTATCCCTAGAACCCAGACACGGTGAATAAGGATCCTCTTAGTCTGAGAGACAAATGCTTTTCAGATAAAAATAGCTTCCTAGAGACTTTAAGTATATCCAGTTATAAGACATACATAATTCATTATTTAAGGAAGTTAGGACTAATATTCTGCCTGAGGATGACTTTGCCCTCTCAGGAAATGCTTACTACTCTTGCTTTCTATTGCTAGAGTTGGAAATGCACTGGGCCCATCCAGAAAGGCATTTCATATGTTGCAAAGAACTGAGAACTCTTTTCCCAAGCAGAATGTATACACATATTCCCAACTCTGTTGACAGGCCCATGAAGCCTGTGGTCCTATGGAAATCGATTCAGCTCTGAGCACTGTGCAGACACTTAAGAATGAACTGCAGGATGCCAAGATGGCTGCCGTGGAGAGTCAGCTGAAACCACTTCCAGGGGAAACGGTAAGAGATGTTAGAGCCAGCCAACAGGTAGAGCACTTAACTTTTGTTATATAATCTTGTTAGAGATTTTTTTTGTTTTGTTTTGCTTTTCAGAAGTCGGGGTTAGTGTGCCTGAATTTCAAACATTCTGAATGCAAAGCCTTCAAATAACCACATTTCTTTAAAACTGCACTAGGATAGAGATTGCCCTGCAGAGGCCTCTGGTGATGGTTCTGTGTGTGCTTTCCTAGGGCTTGGCAGGGGATGAACAGATGTCTGTTAATATTCATCCCTCTTTTTTATAAACAAAACACATGCAAGTATCTGAGGCCAGTGTTCTAATTCTGCAGCCTTTTTCTGAAAAGAATGCCCAGTGCAGCTGACGGACTAGGTTTGGAACTAGGAGTTCTGGCTTCTAGATCCAGCTTGTATCATCAACTAACTGTGGACAAGCCCCATATCTCCTCTATGCTCAGGTAGTTTATCTGTGATATGGGTGGCAATGGGGTTATAAAGATAAATACAGGAATAACATTGTATGTCAACTATAATTATATATACATATAGTCACGGGACGTGGACTAGAGTGTGGGAATGGAGTCAATGGAATTGTAATAGATAAGTATGATATCGGGGGTGGGAGGACAGTAGGTGGAGCAGGGGGGTTGTTTCTGTGTGAAGGGTGAAAAGGATAACTATTGCATTGTTCTGTACACCTGAAACTAACAATTAAAAAAAATGTATTTTAAAAAAATTTAAAAATAAAACATAACTAGTTTTATTTGCAGCATCTATCCATCTAATTAACCATTTGATGATGTTGTTCACCACTGTAAACAGAGAGCACAGAAATTTGATCTAACATATTTGTATGCAGTCAAATAGCAAAATTCAATTGAGCATATGCAAACGGGAATTAAATGATTAAATTAAAATAAAACAGCATCAGCCAACCAAAAAAAAAAAAAAGATAAATACAGGAGATAATTCCAACAATCATGTTTTGTAAAAAACAAACAAAAACATTTACTTAGTACAAAGCTCTCAGAAGCATAGTTATGATATCGTCTGATGCTTCTATCCAGATTTTCTTAGCTAAAGGCCTACCAATCCTTCTCATGCATCGGTACCTCCTTTCCTACATTACTGAATGTTGCTAATAAAATACCACCATTTATTAGGCACTGTATACACACACAGTTAAAATTTATCCTGACAGTAGCCTTAATGAGCAAGTTTTAACCCCATTTTAACAGCTGAGAAAACAGGTGCAGAAATTTTCACCCTTCTGTACCATGATTACCAGCCAGTTAGTGGCAGAGCCAAGGTTTGAAACCAGATCCACAGGACTCCAATACCCATGCCCTTGATCACTCACATTGAGGGTGATCTCTTAACTACTGCGACTCTTTGGATGAACTAAAGGCTTTTAGACTATATGGGACTTGAGGAACATCTAATCGGCCATAGAACAATGCTTGGTATAGGAGAAGCACTCAGAAAATATTTTTTTAAAATCAGGCTACCCCTAATGTTAAAGACGAGGAAAATCAAGCTCAGAGAAGTTAAGTCACTTAACTAAAGTCACCCAGCTACTGATAAAGTCAGGCTTGGCTCTGAGGCCAGCAGTTTTCCATGTGGTCCAGGCACCTATCCCTTTGCAAACTCCCGTACTCCAGGGAGACCAGGAGAGGTTTGCGTGACATGGATTCTACCTTTACATAAAACCACTGGTCAGTTAGAATGCAAGAAACACCAAGTAAGTTTTAAAGAAACAGCTCTTAAAGAATGTGTGTACTGTGTTATATCATTGGCTATAATGGACCCAATTCTATTTTTTATTTGAAGGCACTGCCTCTCTTGCGAAACAGGCTGCGGGATTAAAAATGCACACATCCTCTGATGCCTTTTCCACACTCTCACAGTATGCCTAGAAGTTCTCTTCCAAAATGTTGTCCTCCTCTAGTAATCAAGTAATTATCCTAGGCCTTTACTGACTTTGTTCTCTGAATTATTTATTCAGTTTACAAAGCAAGATGAAGTGTGGTTCATGGGAACCAAGCACTTTGCCCATTTTCATAATCTCATTTACTACTCCAAAACTCTATTTCTATTGCATTTCCTTTGGTTAGCGCTCCTCAAAGTATAATGATCAAATCGAACAATGTTAATGGTCCCACAGGCCAGGAAGGTGGTACAGCTGGATGTCTGCCCAGTTCCTGCCAAGGCATAATTAATTCTTGCTAAGGATTTGTTGCAGACTTTCTAAATTAGCTTCTAAAGGCATAACACTAATAGCTACCATTTGCTGAGTATATACGTTAATTCTCTGAAAACCTTTCTGAGCTAGGTATCACTATCTCAAGAAGCCGAGGCTTGGAGAGGTTCAGTAACTTACCCAAACCCTCATAGCTAGCAGTTGGAGAGGGGAGCGGGGAGCAGAGGTGTGAACCTAGATTTGTTTATTCTGAAGCTCAGTCTCTTACCCCTCAGGCCACGTCTTCTTAACGCCATTGGAGTATTAGGTAGGAAGGCGCTAAGGCCCAAAGTTTAATCTGTATTATTTTTAGGCTAAGACTCCAGTGGATGTTTCTTCTAAGCTCTCTTTTCCCTTGTATATTCTTATAGCTGGAAAAATGTGCTCAAGACCTGGGAAGTACATCTAAAGCAGTGGGCTCCTCCATGGCACAGCTCCTGACCTGTGCTGCTCAAGGCAATGAGCACTACACAGGTGAGACTCACACCCTTCGTGATGCCATGTGTCCAGGTGCAGACCACTGGGGTGGTGGTGGGGGTCCACTGATTTGATAATGAATCTGGATTTTTTTTTTCCTAGCAGTTCAGCATATAATTTTCAAGCACTTATCACATGCTTGTTACTGGGCTTGATGTTAAGCATACAAAGACCTAATAAAATACGATTTTCCCAAACTATTTGTGGGGCACCCCTAGAAGACTATAAGAAAACAGTAACTCAAGCTGAGCAGCCGCTGAGCTGCCAACAGGTAGCAGGATGGCTCAGCTTAAAAAAAAAAAAAAAAGAAAAAGAAAACAGTAACTATAGGCTTCTGAGACTATCTGTGTATGCCTCTTGAAATCCCACCAAAGTCCAGGGGCGGGAAAAAGGCCAGAGAGAATACAAGAGAAGATGACAACAAATAACATATCGATGAAATTTTTGAAGATGGAAGGACACAGATGAGTGGTAACTGATAGAGCTGAATAAATAAAACCTGAAAGGTCTGCAGGGATCAGTAGGGTTTGAGTACTGGAGACACCAAGTACCCCTGAACAGAAGCACGCTATAAGGAGCAGATTGTATAGTTATCAATCTAGGAAAAACACCAGGTTATATAAAAAAGGAAATGTTGTCATAGTAGGAAGTAGACACAGTAGGACATGTATAGCTCTCTAAAATGGAAACATCAAGAAGTTTCAGTAGATGTCCATTACTCGAAAATGAAATTAATCAGAAGAAAGAGCAAAGGATTGATTGGCTGTAGGAGTAGGAACCAGAGGGAAGAGTGGGTATGGGATTGCTGATTTTGCTGCACCATGGTACTGCTTGACTTTTCTTCTTGAAGTACACGTTATTATTGAAGTATAATATACATACATGCAGAAGAGAGCATAAGTCCTAAATGTATACCTTCGTGAATTATCACAAATTGAATGCACCAGAAAACCACCACCAAGATCAAGTAATGGAACGTTTCTGGTATCCCAGGGGCATTGCTAGGTCACAGGCTGTGCAGTTACTCAGCTACACTAATGAAAGTTCTAGTTGTTCTACATTCTTTGCTACCACTTCATATTTTCTGTTAGCCATTATGTTGAGTGTGTAGTAGTATCACAGGATGGCTTGAATTTGCATTTCCCTGATGGACAGTGCAATTAACGACCTTTTGATATGTTGACTGATTTGGATATCTTCTTTTGTGAAGTACCTGTTCAGGTCTTTTGCCCATTTTTTAAAACCTGAGTTTTCTTTTTCTTATTGTAGGTATTCTTTATCACTTATATATCTTTTTTGTATCTTGTGTCTTACTTTTTTACCCTCTTAAAGGTGTTTCTTGAGGAACAAAATTATATTTTAGTATAATCCAGTTTATATTTCTTTCCCTTTATGGTTAGTACTTTTCATGTCCTATTTAAAATTTTTGCCTCTCCAAGATCGTGAAGATATTTTCGTGTTACATGCTAGAAGCTTGGTTGTTTTATTTTTCATATTTAGAACTATAATCCACCTGGAATTATATGTGTGCAATTAGAATGCTACTTTAGTTTTTCCACATGGCTATGCATTTGACCCAGCCCCACTTTTTGAAACGACCGTTCTTTTCCCAAGCCTTTAGTGCCTGCCACTCATCATAAATGAAGTGATGATGTGTGTGTCCGTTGGATCATGGTCTTCAGATTCTTTTCCATTGCTTTAATTGCCTGTTTTTACCCCGATACCTCACTTTCCTAACTACTGCAGTTTCACACTAAGTGTGAATATGTGATAATATCAGTTCTCCAGCACTGTTGTTTTTCCACAAGTTACTGTTGACTGTTCTTGACCCTTCACCGTTCCACAGAAATTCTGGAATGAGCCTGTCACTTTCCACCCCTCCCCCACAAAAAGCACCCTGTTATTTTTGTTTTTGTTTTAATTGGGGTTGCATGAATCGACTTTTGGGATAATTGACATCATTACATTATTGACTTTTTATCACAGTCTTCTAATCTGTGACTGTGTTATGTCCCTTCATTTATTTAGATTTTCCTTTCTTTCAATACTATTATATGGCTCTCTGTGTAGAAGCTTTGGTTTTCTTTATAAAAATGTGCATGATAAATCTATTCCCATTCTTTTACTTTCAACTTTTCCGTATGCTTATATTTCATGTGTATCCTGTGAGCATAATATAGTTTTTCTTTTGTGAAGGGAGGAGAGTTATTTGTTGATGTGACAATTCTTTTTCAGTTGGAATATCTGGTCTATTTACATATGATTACTGACATGTTGGGGTTTGAATCTGTCATCTTACTATTTCCTTTCTAGGTTCCTTTTTCTCTCCTTCCTTGCCTTCTTTCAGATTTATATGTATTTGTTAAATTCTATTTCTCTCCCCTTGATTAGCTTGTTAGTTGTACATCCATTGCCTATTCTTTTACAGTTTTTTAAGTCTAATATAAGGTAGTGTATTTACCTCTTCCTGGACAGTGCAAGAATCTTGGGTCACTTTAGCTTCATTTGCCTTTCTTCCAGCTCATTCATTGTTGCATGTTTTAATTCAACATATAGTTTAATCTCTTTAGTGAAGTCTCATTGTGGCCTCATACAGTCAGTATTGATTGAGTCACCCCCATGTTTACCCTTCCATTGCTCTTCATTACTTTCTGCGTCTCCATGTGCTCACATCTGGGATTATTTCCTTTCTGCCTGAAGACCTCCCTTTATTATTTCCTTTAGTGGGAGTCTCCTATGACCAATTCCTTCTGTTTTTGTTTGTCTAAAAATACCTTTGTTTAGCCTTTATTTTTGGTGGATAATTTCACTTATTATAAAATTTTAGGTTGGCAGTTATTTTCTTCCAGCATTTGAAGATGTTATTCCATTGTCTTCTGGCTTCCTTTATTTCTGTTGTGAAGTCAGCTGTCAGTTTACTCTTCTAAAGGTAATGTGGTTTTATTTTTCCCTCTCTACTTGCTTTTTGAACTTTCTTAGCCTTTGGTTTTCAAGAAATGTGCCTAGAAGAGTTTTCTTGCATATTTATTCTGCTTTGAGTTGTCGTACTCCTTAAAAATGGGATTTGTTGTCTTTTGGAAAACTCTCAACTGTTGTATCTTTAAATATTGCTCTGCGCCATTTTTTCGCTCTTCCCCTTTGTAGATTCCAGTTACCCCATACGTTAGACATCTTCACTGTTTTGTGTGTCTCCTATGTTCTTTTCTGTTATTGCCATAATTTTTCTTCTCCGTGTTTTATTCTCAGTTTTTTCTTTTGATCTATCTTCAACTCACAGTCCCTCCCTTTAGTTGTGTCTATTCTGTTTTCAACCCCTTCTATTGTTTATAATTCTAAATGTCATATTTTTCAGTTTTATAAAAGCCATTTGATTTTCTTATAGTTTCCATTTCTCTGCTGAAATTCTCTGTCTTACCTAATTTCTTCAGTATGTTTGTCACAGTTATTTAATGTCCAGGTCCAATAACTCCAATATTGGAATCACCTATGGTCCTGTTGTTTTCTTTTTCCTCATGGTTTTCAGCCATTAGTCTTATCTTTTGGTGTTTCTAATATTTTTGTTTGTTTAATGCTAATCATTGGTGTTTACATTGTAGAGGTCATTTGAGGCTCCAGATGTGTTTCTTTCCCTACAGAGGATTATTCTTTGCTTCCAGCAGCTGGTTAAGATAGGGGCAGATCATCATAACATGAGCAGGGACTGAACTCATTGGAAATTGTGTGGTCTATTTCCAGTTTACCTTTTAGGATACAGTCCTTTGTGCATCCCATCCAAACCACTGTGATGTTTACCAGGACCATTCTGTTTTGGAGGCTCAGAACTATGCGTTTTTGTTTTTTTTTACCTTCCCAGACCTATGAGATTTTAGGAAGCTGTGCTCAGCCTTTCGACTTCTGGGCAACAGTTTACAAATTAAATGCCTTGAAGGTAAAAGAAGCATTGTACTCACTTCTCTGTGCTTTCTTTCTTTACCCATCAAGGTAAAGCTTGATTCCTTGGTGTCTCTCCAATGCCTTCACACAGATGTTTTATATATTTTTCCAGTGTTTCTAGTTGTTTCCCTGAGGGAGGATTCATCTGTAATAAGTTATTCTGCCATTACTACAAGCAAAATCCTCCATGATTTTTTTAAAAAAACTGTATATTTATCACTTTGAAAATAAGAGCACAATAAGAGTTATGGCATAGTATAATTTAGTACCTGCAATGATAAGAATGTACAATTCTGTCCTAATGGGAGAGTAAGAGAAATTTTCAGAGTGGAATTGACACCTGATCAGGGTTTTAAGGACTGTTTAGGACTCATTTAGCATTCAAGGAGAAGGAAAAGCATATATAAATTCTTAAAAGCATAAGGAATATGAGAGGTTTAAGTTTCAAGAATTTCTAAACATTCCTGAAATCTTGCCAGATTTTGTGTAGATGATGAAATGCATCTTTAATGGAGGAAAGACTTCATTACAAGTTACATCATCCGATACTAATAACATCCAGGATGACAAACTGTCTGGTTGGTGTCTGAAAAACATCCTAAGGGCCAGCTGAGTGGCTCAGTTGGTTAAGAGTGCAAGCTCTGAGCAACAGGGTCACTGGTTTGATTCCCACATGGGCCAGTGAGCTGCACCCGAGCTAAGCTGCTGCTGAGCTGCCAGCAGGCAGCAGAATGGCTCAGCTAGTGAGAGCACATGCTCCTAACAACAAGGTGGCCAGTTCAACTCCCGTATAGGATGGTGGGCTATGCCCACCCACAACTAAGATTGAACACCACACCTTGAACTGAGCTGCCCTGAGCTGACGATGAGTGAGCACTCTTAGCAACAAGGTTGCTGGTTGAATTCCTGCATGGGATGGTGGGCTATGCCCACCTGCAACTAAGATTGAACTCGGGCACCTTGAGCTGAAGCAGCCCCAACCTGCCAATGGGCGGCCGGATGGCAACTGGACTTGAAGCTGAGCCAGCTGCGCCCTCTACAACTAAGACTAAAGGACAACAACT